TTTGACGTAGCCGGCTGAAATGAATGTGCCACAGACCGCAAAAGCTCTTCAGTCTCTTCATTATTCTCACTCCGGGTCAGGCGACGACCAATTATTTGTCCAATCTCGTTTTGAGCGAGGAGAAGCATCTTACCATCCGCAATACCTTCTCGCTGGCCACTACCCGTCCAGTTCTTCAGTTTCTTACAGAATTTCACAGAATGGTCGATACGTAGGGCTCGTCGGACCTTCAAGTGTTGTATAAGTACCTCACACAAAGAACTGTAAATCGATGTCCATTCCAGCCACTGCGCAGTCAAAGAGTTTGACGTTGGTGGTGCATTGTCAGAGCAGTACTGGCTGCAGCTAGGTGGCGTCGGAGCTACATACTCGGTGTTACCGTTTCGAATCCGTCGAATTCTATCCGCGAAAAGAGTATACAGTTTGTAGTAACGGGTTTGTCGTCTACGTCGAATGCATGTCAACGCACTTGATAGTCCGTTGGGTGACATCACCCCATCGTGTACAATTTCCATAAACTCCTTCGATATTCCACTTTTCACCGACAGAACGAAAGGAAAATGAACAATAGTATCCACGCGCCTATTTAAATAGCTGGAAGATGCCGTAGTAAAGCAGGTACCAGTCGAAGTGCACTCATAACGAGTGTACAATAGTTCACACTTGCAATCCACAGCTTCAACTGTACGTTGCACATACTCCTTCACGCGAGGAGTACACAGACACTTAGGGGAAATGCACTCTGCCTTGCCTCCATTAAGGCATTCAGGAACCCAAACGACTAAAGGTCGTCTGAACAGCTTGGATAAAGGCGCCATGTCGTCGTTCCGGTTGGATGCTTAAGGGTACACTATACTCGGCGGGAAAGTACAGCGGAAAATTGCTTCTTGGATGAGACGCCATCGCTCGTCTGAGTCCATGATGCAGACGATGACTCCGTCCTTTCAGCTCTCGTGCCTGTTTCCCGCTATCAATGCCTATTAGATTTTAAAGTGGTATTTTTGGAGGAGCGGAGCGGAGGTCGGAGGAGTAACCACTCGGAGCTCCGATAACCCCCCACGACCACTGGCTTAAAAGGCCAGCGCTCTACCGACTGAGCTAGATGGGTGTACCGTCACAAACCTTACAGCAACTTAACACAAACAAAGTGCAACACAACACCAAA